TTCTTTCTTTCTTTCTTTCTTTCTTTCTTTCTTTCTTTCTTTCTTTCTCTCTCTCTCTCTCTCTCTCTCTCTCTCTCTCTCTCTCTCCTTCCTTCCTTCCTTCCTTCCTTTCTTCTTTCTTTCTTTTTTTTTTTTGCCTAAGACTCCATTGAGGAAGATTCTTCTTCCCCACCTACCCTGTCACCAGGTGTCAAAATAGGATGTTTTTTCTTCTACAAATACAAAGTGCCTCTCACTACCAAATTCTGTCGTAATTGTGTACTGCCCTTTCTTTCTGTACTGCCCTCCTGTCCCTGAAGGACTGCACTGGGTAGCTCTCATCTGCCACCTTCCCTCTATAACATGTTTCTATTAAAATCACTTTTTAATTTTAAAATCACTTTAAAAGTGTGAGCTGATGAGGACTTGTCTGATATCAAAGCTTAATGATAATGAGTTTATATTTGTACATGGGCATATCTGCAGGAGCTTGTCCATTTTGATACCAGTGCTTTAAGCACCTTGTGCATTAAATGAAGGTATGTATTCTTACAATTACTGAAGACAATCCAAAGAAGTTTTGAGCACTCAGGCTGTTTCAGAGTGGGCCACCTAGTGTCCTCTTGCTCTATTGGCCCTGAGCAATCGTTGTGGCCGAAGTCCTCTTTTTAACCATGTGTCTTGATTCTGTGAGGTTATCTAGATTATTTTATGGAAACTAACTGAATTACATCACAATATACATATTTTTGATGACCAGATTATGTCAACTACCCAGTATACACTCTATTTAGTATTGTTTAAACAGAAATTTAGCAAAAGTTAGTTTTAGAGAAAAGGCACTAAATGATCTCAAAAGCTGTTGTTTCCATGTTAACGATGGTATTGATTCTTCTAACACTCCTTTTCCTAGTTCCTACAGAGCATGAGCAAGTCCTCAGTCTGCGGTGCCTTTTCCAATGTGCTGCTTCATCTCACATCATTGATAAGAGAGATTTGTACAGCTCCTACTATGTGCCAGACCCTGTTCAAAGATAGAGTATCTCTTCTTCCTCACAGAATGCCTCTAAGGTACGTACCCTTATGTTTCATATGAAAACACGAAGGCTGAAAATGAAACTCCTTTCCCTGTTCTCTATAATTTTTACTGGGGACATTGTGTCATCTAGTCCCTGAGTCACACACCAGGGAAGGCAGCCTTGGAACTGAGATTCAATGGCATAGGCTCTGTGAACAGACATCCTTGTGTGGGTTCTTCATACTTTTAGGGACTAAATTGACCACCGCCCGGCTAAAAGCACGCACTTGTAATCCTAGCACTGGGATGGGGGTGGGGAGGGCAGCCAGTTACAGGAGGAACTCTGAAGCTTACTGGCCAGCCACCTTAGCCCTTTTAGCCAGCTTCAGGTTCTACTGAAGAGTGATATCCAAGGTATACCTCTGGCTTCTGCATACACCCACACACATGAACATACAGATGCTCAAAAGAACCTTAATCCAATATAAATTCATCCCAATTCTATAAGCTTTCTAGAAAAAGCACCCGTTCCCAATCCCCGCTCCCCCCCCCCCTCCCCCAGCAACTGCCTCTAATCATTACTGGGGTAATCAGTATGTTCACCATTGTTTTTCATGACTCCTTTCTCCTTTCCCTCCTTTTTCCATTCACAGTTGACAGCCACACTTTCAGATCAGTCGGAGAATTCAGGGGCCTGGTAGATTCCCAGTTGCTTGCTCATGCTTAAGAATCTCCCAGGACACAAAGTTCTTTCAAAAACTTTGATGATGCTACCATGACCACTCTGGGAAACAGTGAGGAAATAGACACACTTCACTAGCTTCTTTGGGAACTCTTATTTGCTGATGCATTGATCCTGTATTTCTCAGACAAAGTATTTGTACAGGTACTGTTCTTGGCTCTTGGGACATATCAGTGAGAAACACAGACCCTTACCTACACAGCTTGCTTTAAGCAAGAATGAGATGGATGGTGAACAGTAAGCAAAATAAACTGTCTAGTACCTTAGATAAACAGTGCATCTACCAGAGAACAAAATGTCAAGCAGAGCAAGGAAGATTCACAGTTCACACTGAGTATCATGTTGCAACACTGGAAGATCAGTCACATGGATTACACATATATTACCGTTCAGTATGTCTCATAATATATATGTATACTTTGTCATAATTTTCCACATTAAACTTAGTTCTGCTTTAACTTCACGTTAAACTCAGCTCTGGCCAGTTGTAACTAGGATGAATCAAAGTGCATTATAATTACTGTCAAGCTTTTTCTAATGATTCCTGTGAAAATCAGGACAGGAGAACGATAGGCAGGTAAGTGACAATTAAAAGTCAATCGAATGTCTTGAGTATATCTTTCATTCCCAAAATTTTAAGGATGAACATAATCAAGGCAGTTCCTCCATGACTTTACAGTTTTCTTGGTTTCTGGAAGTGGTTGACAGATTCAGAGCCACATCTTAAGGTGTATAGATCACTTTCTTCTCTTGAGTTCACTCTGAGGCTGTCACAAGGTAATGGTTTTTCAGTATTTGCTCTGTTGAAAATACACTTCAAAATTTAGCTAGTAAAGAATGGAAGAGTTGATAAAGGAGAGGAATTCTCATTTACCACAGTTCTTGTCTTGATTGCTGATGTTAGAGCTTACATGAACTCTGGAAGGCCAGCCTCCAGGTGTGGCCACTTGTCCCGAAATGGAGGTAGTGGTAATATTTACTGTTAAATTTAGAAACTTTCAAATTATGCAGCTGGGCATTTTATTTTGCTAATAAGATGATGCCATTAAGTGTATCATTTCACTTTCTCGGTATGACATCTCTCCAGTGGGAATTTGTCAAGAAAAGTCTTCCAGTTATAGTAAACACATAAGATCAGTGCCATCAGTGTGGCTGTCAACAGTATTTCAGACCACAGCAGGTTCTGAGTACTGTGGTCTATAAAGCCCTGGGAAGGGGAGAAAACTATCCCAAGGCCAACTCTGCACTTGTAATATGATGTGACGTAACTGAGTGACTGCTCCAGTCCCTAAGAAGTGAGGGTTGGAGTGCTGCTGAAGCACACATGGGACACGAAATTGGGGCATTAAGGAAGGTCGAGGGAAGCAGGAGCTGCAGGAGATGAAGGAGGAGGAGGATCTCCTAAGACAGTGTTCAGAGATGCCATGGTGTAGCCTAAACCTTATATGCTATTCTTCAGTCCAAGGCTTGTGTTTTCTCATGGTGTAGAATGCCATCCAGTTCTTAGAAAGGCTTATTTGTTGATGAATTTTTTTATTTAAAAATTATACAGTAATCAAAGCTAAGATATATACATATGTTTATATGTGTGTGTATGTGTATATCTTAGGTTCTATGCATATCCTAAGAAGGAAATAATACTTTGGGGTAGATGGTCTTATGAAGTCTTAACTTCTTTTATAGCTCATGCTCCTACATGGAGCTAGTAATGATGATCAACATTATTATTTAACAGGTTGAAGTAACTTGTCGTAGCAGGTTTTTGTTATTGCTTTTTTTCTTTTCTTCCTCTTTTTTTTGTTAAGAAAATTTTGTTTTCATTTTACACACCAATTAGAGATCCTCCCTCTTTCCCCCTCCCCCCCCTTCCCCCCAACCGGCCCCCCACTCCCCTCACAAGAAGACAAGGCCTCCCAGAGGGAGGCACATCCAGTAGAGGTAAGTCCAAGCCCTTCTCCCTGCCTCAAGGCTACACAAGATGTCCCATCATAGGTAGTGGGCTCCAAAAAGCCCCCTCATGCACCAGGGATGAATTCTGATTCTACCACCAGGGGGCCCCCCAAGCAAAGCAAGCTACGTAATTGTCTTGCCATGCAGAGGGCATGCAGGCTCCATAGCCAATGATCCAACTTGCATGAGTTCCCACTAGTTTGGTTTGGTCATCTCTGCAGGTTTCCCCATCATGATCCTGATGCACTTGCTCATAAAATCTCTCTTTTCTTTCCAACTGGACTCCTGGAGCTCTGCCTGGTGTTTGGCTGTGGATCTCTGCATCTACCTCCATCAGTCATTGGAGAAAAGCTCTGTGATGATAGGGTATTCACTGACCTGATTACTGGGGCAAGCCAGTTCAGTTAAGGCAACTTCTCCCTATTTCCCAAGTTGGGGTCATCCTTGGGGATTCCTGACAACTTCCCTAGCACCAGGTTTCTCTCTATCCCCATGATATCTCCCTCCATCATGGTATCGTTCTCATTGCTTTCCCACTCCATCTCTGTTCCAGCTCGACCATCCCATTGCTTATGTTCTCATCCCTCATGCCCTACCCTCCATTGCCCACCCCTCGCCCCATTTTGCTATAGAGATCTCATCTATTTTCCCTTGTAGTGGAAGGACAATAGATGGACTGGCTTTCCTGATTCTGCCTATGCATTGTTGTGGTTTAATTGTAATGTAGATTATTGGTTGAATTGCCAGGCAGTATGGTGTAAGTGATCTGCTACATCACAGCTTTTGATTTCTTCTTGGCAGCCTGTGAGATTTTCTTCGGTTTTTTTATTCTTCACTATGTGGTGGAAGACATACTGAAAATTTGGATTCTCAAGCTACACTATCATAAATTACTATTTATGTAATTGCCTGGATATTTTGATCATCATGATAGGTTGGAGAACAATACTCAAAGCTGTAATGTATTATAAAAGCATGTTAATTACAGTCACTGGTTCATCATTCTGAGTGTTTATATTCAAAATTTCATTTATTTCAACTTCTGTGAGTACTCTCATTTTTGTAAGAAACTTGCATGAATCTTAAAGAGTCTTGTTAATAAAATCAAACCTGAGGCCAATTATTGGGGTGAACGCTGGAAGATCAGAGAAGTAGAACAAGCCGCAGTAACCTCACCTCACCAGTTCCTCAGCTGATCCCGTTTCCTCAGACTGGAAGCCTCTGAGTCCTCATCCGAATGGCTCTCAGCTGAACTGTTGCTCCAAAGCCTGAAAGCTTAACCAGCCAAATACTACTAGTTTCTGGTTTTCACGCCTTATATAATTCTGCTTTCTGCCATCACTTCCTGGAATTAAAGGCTCACTTCTTGGGATTAAAGGCGTGAGTCACCATGCTTGGCTGTATCCTTGAACACATGGATTTCTGCCTCTGGAATGCTAGGATTAAAGGCGTGTGCTACCACTGCCTATCCTTCTATGTTTAATATTGTGGCTGTTCTGTTCTGTGACCCCAGATAAGTTTATTAGGGTGCACAATATTTTGGGGAACACAATATACCACTATAAGAAACCTTTCTGAGTATGACATGCATGGTGTTTACAGTACCCTCTCAACCATACTGATCATGAGAATAACTCATGAGCTCATATTTATCTTAACATATGAGACAAAATTAATTTTTGTGATAATTTTATTCAACTGAGAATAAAAATTAATATTTAAATGAAAAAGTATAAAATTAGAGCAAGAAGAAACAGCATGGAATATTTTTGTAGGAAACATAGTATAGAATGTCACAGGGAACAGAAATTGTTAGATCCATCAAGGATTTCTGTATGAGAAGCAGAAAGCGTAAGGGAGAATGATGATGTCAGAGAAAGACATCTTTCAGATGTTGGATCTCCGGCTTCTGATAGACGTTCATCTTATTTTCCCCTCAGCTAAGTCACTTAACTAAGCATTGTCCTAACTCACTTGCTTCCAGAGGTCTCATGGAAAGACTCATTTTTATAAACTTTTCTTTGATAATTTTAGACCTTTCATTATACCATGTTATGCATTTGGACGTATAAGTGTGCCTGCTCATTACTTGCTTAAATGTTTGGTTGGTGTATCTTGCCACGTATTTTGTGCCCATGCTCCCTGTCCTAAAAATGACCCCTTGAAATTGTGGAATATTCTGCATTACTCTGTTGACTTTCTTTTCTTCTATTTGCTGTCCTCTTGACAATCATTCTTGCCTTCGCCCACTTTCTAAAATTCATGTGACCTTGTAAATAGATTATGAATAATTTTCCATTAAATCTTTTTGACACAGATAATATGAGGTTGGTGAGGTGTCTCAGTGGGTAGATGCTTTTTCTGCCAAGCCTCACAGCCTGAGTCTAGTCCCCAAGACACACATGATGAAGGACAGAAAGGACTCCCACAAGTTGTCTTCTTACTGCCTCGCATGCTGTGGCCTATCCATACACATAATTAAAAATACGATGTAAATTTTGAAGGACATACTGTTCACCTGGGAGAGAATGAACACATAGGCTATGAAAGAACTTTGTGCATATGTCTTGCATTGCATCAACATTAGCAGCAATAATGATCCTAACAGCTTACCCTTCAGAAGCTAGTGTGTGTTAGATTGTACACATAACTGTCTCTTTATTTGGTGAAGAAAGAGAAGAACAGATGTGTGAAAGTCAGAAAATAAAGAAAAATAAGAATTAAAAAAAAACAGAAATGAAGATGATATTTAGCAAATAGAAGGGGTGGGAGAGATGGCTCAGTGGTTAAGAGCACTGGCTGTTCTTCCAGAGGACCCAGGTTCAATTCCCAGTACCACATGGCACCTTAAAACCATCTGTAACTCCAGTTCTTCTGTCACCTTCACTGACCTCTGGCTACTGCATGTATGTTGCACACAGACATATGTGCAGACAAAACACTCATACACACAAACTAAAGCTAATCTTTAAAAAGAAAGGAAGTAAGTAGAAATTGATCTGCATGAAGGTGACAAAGACAGCATGCTTTACCATTGGAACTTAAATTTGTTATAGAATCACCTCCCATGCATGTGAATGCAGGCACACATACATACATGCACAAATGCATGTAAACAGCCTTGTACATATCCAGCAGATTTGTATCCCTGACTGCCTAGTATTTCCCTTTTGAGTGACTACCTCTCATAAATGCTATTGGGTAAGTATCATGGTCAACTATAGAGTTCATACATTGGTGGGGAAAAATGAGTCCTAACTTTTATATTGCAATAAAGTTCATGTTTTTATTCTCTACTTAGAGTAGTAACTGTGTGATAATATATATATCAGACATTGAGGATGGAGGGATTTTTTTTTTTCTTCAGGATAATTGAAGTTCTTTACTCATCTTTGTGCGTCTGGCATACTCAGAGTACACTTATACAATATAGTTTCTATCACTGTATTTTTTTTCTGGGTTGAGGTAACATATATGATCCACACTTCAATATTTTTTTCTTTTTCAAGTCACTCAGCAGGTGGCAGTGCAAAGCTGCTCCATGTTTTACATCAGGTATGCTGTGACCATTCCTCTCACTATGAATGAGGCAACTTCTGTTATTTGGATTCTTGTTAGATAAAATCATACACATTTTAACACATGCAGTAAGAGGCCATTAGTGTGTTCTCTGAGCCTGGAGCCTTAGACTAACACTGGGAACCATCTGAATTTTACTTCATAGTAAAGTAAGCAAGTAAGGAAAAAGGATGTAGAGAAAGAAGAGAAAGAAAATGTGAAATTGAAGAAAGGAATAGATTCTGTACCTGGAAATGTAGGGGAAGGATCCCTCCTCTCTGGGAAGAGGCCAGAGGGATATTCACATGGCAATGGTTCCTCGCACAAGGTAGCCACGCAAAAAACACTGTTTGAACAAGAGGATAGATGCTGGTGGGCTGAGTACGGGAACAAGCATGTTGTAACTCTTCTGTTAGAGTAAATATAAATAAACATATTATAGTAAATATAGCAAAACCTACACTGTCCGTATTCTAAACCATTCAGTGACGTTAAGTATGTTCATCGTAGTGGTCAACAATCACCAGTGCATTACCATACTTCCCCATAATCCTAACATGAAATCATATATGTTAGCCACAGCTTCTCTTCCTCTCCTTGTGCCAGCCTCTGTACTCACTATTATTTCCTGTGAGTTGAGTAAATCTAAATGCATCATCTAGAACCATACATTAAAGTCACATCTGTTCCTGTTAATGGTGGAGTTATATTCAGGTGTGTGCTTAGATTACATTGTGTTGTCCACTCATCTGCTAATATTGTCCTTCTTTTTTGCAGCTCTTGAAACTCATGTTCTAACAAGACCATGAGCCAGCTCTTACAACCGTGTCATGATGTGCCATTATGTTCTTCACTGTTTCCTTGGCATACTTCCAGTTGGCATGGCTCATCATTGGCACTCAGTTGGATGACTTAAGTGCCTTCCAAGAATACATGTAAGTATTTATCAAATCACATAGAAAAATTTATTTGTTATTGCATTCCCAATAAAAACTGTGTTTATTTGGGCCCCTTCTGTTAAAAAGTTATTTAAAAACAGTTATAAAAATAAATGATGTGTTTCACAAACATTATGCCATCAAAGAAATGAAGAAAATGTGAAATGCTGATGATTAGGAAAGCAATTCTCATGAACCAGGCATGATGGAGCATGCCTGTAATATCAGTACTAACAAGTGCAGACAGGAGAATTAGAAGTTTAAGGTTACTTCCTTCCTCTACATAGCAAATTCAAGGTCAGCCTTGAAAACATGGGAACTTGTCTCTCACTCATAGAAAACAACTCTTAATAGTGAGATGTAAAGATATAGATACAGAAAGCCAGCACTGTTGGAATGGCCAACATCTTATTAACATTCAGTGCAGGTGAGAACTTTTATTTTTATTATTTATTTTATTGCTTTTATGGTGGGGGTGTGTACATACAAACATGTACAGTAACATTAGAAAACAGACTTGCAGGAGTCAGTTCTTTCCTTGCACCATGTGGGGTTCTGGTTACAGAGCTCAAGTTGTCAACACTGGCAGCAAGTCCTTGACTCCCTGGGTTGTCCTGCTTCACTGCAGCTGTGAGGTTTAATACTTGGCCCTGGGTCATCCTTTCACAGCCAAAGACCATTAGTTTATATTTTTATACTTGACTGTTACTTCAATAGAGTTTCAATTTCAGATAAGTTAATGAGAAAAAAGTTACAGTATTTTACGATAGAGTGGTATAGGAATTTTTCTTCCCAGTGTTTCCATTTATTAAAAAAAAAAAAACAAAAAAACCCCAAACAACAACAACAACAGTGCTATGAGACATTCTGTGCCGTTTACAAAGAGTTAGCAGTTAAGAAAGGAGATTGCATGGATTTAGGTTAGTAGGACCTTGGCAGAAGGGGGACAGAAACAATACTGTATTAGATAGAATTTGGGAATGAAAGTGATTTCATACGACCCAGCTTTGGCAATACCTTGTTTCCTATGCTTCACTTTGAATGTGAGAATATTAAATCTTTGAATACATAAAATTCTGGCCATCCTTCAGAAATCTTTCATTTTTAAGAAATTTTCAACTTCAAACCTAAGGAGACCTTGTGAAGATCAGTTTACTCCGGAGTATACATTTGATTCTTAGACCTGATCACTACATGAACCACTTAAATAACATTTTGTGTGTTTATACCAGGTGAAAGTGAAATGTAATCTGGAAACATTCTATTGTTCCAGAAGGCATTGATTGATACAAACAGCAAGAATTTTTCAGAGATCAATAATTTCCTTCTGTCTTGCTGCTTTGTACAGTGGGGGAGTCATCCTTAAGAAATATTATCTTGCTACCTTGTTTACACTTTGTTTTGTTTTCTGTATAGTTCCACATCTTTTTGGGAACTGAGCTTTGTAATCGTTAAGGAAGTTAATCGAGTTTTAGGACTACATTTTTATGTATTTGGAATGTACACTTCTATTTATGAGACAATTAAAGTTCATGCTTATAAATCACTGTCTTCTCTATCTCTTATGCACATATTCCATCTTTCAAATAGAAATCAAGATAGTAGGGAGAAATGTGTTTATTTCAGAAAATGTAGAGATAATTTATTTTTCATTGAGTCACAGTTTTGAGTCTTAATGCTGTGCTTCTCCCATGGTTTTTCATTTATCCACGTTACTATATATGTTTATTCAATGCTTTTTTGTTTTGGTTTGGGTTTTTTTGTTTTGTTTTTTGTTTTGTTTTTTTTCGAGACAGGGTTTCTCTGTGTAGTTTTGCGCCTTTCCTGGAGCTTGCTTTGGAGACCAGGCTGGCCTCGAACTCACAGAGATCCGCCTGCCTCTATTCAATGCTTTTTAAAGAGAGTTGCAGGTACGTATTTGTAAAGGTGCCTTCAATGGGGATTTGCTCAGCAGCAGAAAATGCTGTTAGAGCTGTCGTTGTCACTTGCTAGCATGACTTCATTGTCCTTGTCCTCCTCTCTCCTTCCGTATTCTATGGTTTTGAATTAACAAGTCAAACTAGAGCTAGGGTATCAGGAATAGTATTTAGTGAATTATTTGCTTGTCAAGAGTAAGGTACTTTATTTTAACTTATTCAAGGTACTTTATTTTAACTTACTCAGTTCATATTTCACATGTGTAGTGACAGCTTAGAAAGAATATACATGACTACTTTAAATCTCATAATAAATGGAAATTATTTTCAAAGTCATTAAAAAAAACTTTGATTCTCTTGGTCTGTTCCAACTTAACATTTTTTTTTTGGCATCATGATTGAGATAGTCTCACTATATACTTCTGTTTGGCCTGAAACTTGCTACATAGACCAGGTTTGTCTCAAACTCATGGAGCTCCACGTGCCTCTGCCTCCCAACTGATGGGATTAAAGCTGTGAGGTGAGCCACCACTCAAGCTCCAGCATAACACTTAACTATTTTACATTAAGTAAGATTTTTTTTATTAAGCTATTTAGCTTAATTTAGGCAGTATTTGTGTGTGTGTGTGTGTGTGTGTGTGTGTGTGTGTGTGTGTGTGTGTGTGTGGTCTCACATTTAAGACTTAGTTTATGTGAGAAGTAAGAGTACCAGCATTGTTTCCATAGTCAGTAAATTTGGAAAGGTCCTTTGCAAAGCATTGAGTGATGTTTTTAGTAGTTCACTGTTAGGTCATCAAAGTTGTATCCTGGTGTATTGGTTGTATTCACTAAGCACTAGAGACTTCTTAATAGGACTGACAAGCAGCATTTGCTGCATGCAAGTAAGAGGTAGTTGTTATCATAACTCTCTCTAGTATCTTCTTGAAAAAGAACTTACCCGCCTTGATTACTTAGTTCATGCTGCAAAATTGTGTCCTTCAAGGTTCCTGGTACACTGCCATGTAAAAAAATCTTTTGGTTTTCTTCTTTTCAATGCTATTATCAACCTGGGGCCTCCCTTCTGCTCCGGAAAGTGCCCAATTCTAAAGATAGAGTCTTGGTGACAAGGGTGTTGCTGACCTAGTTGCTCTTAGAAAAGCACTTTCATTTGGAGTTGGATATCTTTCTGAAACATGCTGTGAGGGGAGAACTGGCCTCTATTTACTCGCTCTCTTTTGCCCCAGCATGGGACATCACTGTTTGGTTTAAATCAGGGATACTAATGAGCTGGTCTGTGTCTTAATCATCTCTAGGAAGGACCTTGGCAGTCGTCACAGAGCATGGCCAGGCTTGACACCAGACACTAAGCATGATCTTCAGCAGAATGAAGTCGGAGTCTAATGCGGAGGGCCCATTTGGATGTCACACCCACCGTGATTGGTAGTCTACTTCCTATCTTCCTCTACTCCGGTCTCAGCTTCTGAGAGGAAACTGGCTTTTGCATGCAGTGTTTGTATTGTCAGTACCTCAGTTACAGTAGGGTTTTTTTGCCTAGTGCTTCAGCTGTATTGCAATTCTCAGGACCTGCTGTAATTGTCTTGGCTATTTGTGTTTGTGTTTCTTTGCACTTCTGGAGTTAATGATGTTTGAAGTTTTTCTTGGTGTTGATAACTGCTTTTGTCTTTTTTAGTTGGTGGTGATTACATATGTCCTCTCTGGATCCTCGGCTGGGTGGTTATGGGGTCCCTAGTATAGAGAGCTTCTGCAGGTCAGTGGGTGACAAAAGGGAATGGAGATGGGCTAGGAGGAAAGGCTGAGAGTGGTTAGGGCTAAAGCTGGGCCATGAGGTCTGCACCAAAAGGCTGAATCCCCAGGGAGTGGAGCTTTGGTCAATGGTGGGCTTCTGCACTCAGGCTGCAGCAGGACAAAGACAGGGATAAAGGCCTAGGGGAGCCCAGGGTCCACACCCAGAAGTGGTTCCAGTGAGCAGTGTTGGAATAGGAGGAGGGGCCCCTGAAAACAGGCTGCTCCAGGACTAAGTCAAGTCAGGAGAAACTTGAATGGAGGACAGGAAGGATAGTGAGAATCTCCTGAGTCCCAGCCCAGTGTGACTACTGAGGGTCCCTGTTAAAGTGTTTCTAGGGATAGGCAGCTGACACACAGGAATGGGGATGACCTGGAAAGAAGGCAAGGAGGGAGTTAAGCTGGGTTTGCCTGCTTTGTTGGTTTGGTTTTGCTATATGGCCTTAAATATTTTAAGGCATTGAAACTTCTGTTTTCATAAAATTTTATAAAAATGGGTTCTTAAAAACTAGATGGGGCTTGAGAGATGGCTCGGTAGTTAAGAGCAATGGCTGCTCTTCCAAAGGACCTGGGTTCAATTCCCAGAACCCACATGGCAGCTCACACCTGTCTGTAACTCCTTTTCCAGAGGATCTGGCACCTGCACAGACACATGCAGGCAAAACACCAATGTATATAAAATATAAATAAATTATTTTTTTAAAAAAAGAATACCTATAAGGGTTGCAGACTTGACTTGGTAAGTACAGTGCTTCCTGCATAAACAGGCATGAGAACCTGAGTTCAGATTCCCAGCAACAAAATAAAAGTCAGGCATGTGGTGTATGCACTGTAACCCAGTATAGGCAGCTTGATGCAGTGGGCAGATGCCAGGGCTCACTGGCAGCCCCAGCCAGCCAGATAACAAGTTCAGGGTTAGTGAGAGACCGTTTTTTTCAGGGAAGAAGGTAGACAGCAGTAGAGGAAGATGCTTCACAGTGACCTGTGGCTTCTAAATGCATGTGCACATGCAGTCAGTCACACCTGACATATTTACACGTGTATGTACACAGCACACACAACTTTTTAAAAAAATAAAACTTTGGGCAGTTGTATTTGTTTCAATGGGAAGACAACAGACATCTCATGCTCTCGTCAAGAAGTCTTCAATTCATGTTTTTAAGGCATTTATGTAATATTTTTATACAAAGTAATCAGATAAGAGAACATTATTTTCATACTGCTTTGTGGTGATATTATGTTCCCCAATATATTGTGAACACTAATAAACTTATCTGGGGTCAGAGAACAGAAGAGCCACTAGATCTAGAGGCCAGAAAATGGTGACACACACACCTTTAATCCTAGCATTCTGAAGACAGAGATCCATCCATATCTCTGTGAGTTCGAAGCTACACTGGAAACAGCCAGGTATGGTGACACATGCCTTTAATCCCAGGAAGTGATGGCAGGAAGCAGAAAGGTTTATAAGGTGTGAGAACCAGGAACTAGAGCCTGGTTAAGCTTTTAGGCTTTTGAGTGGCAGTTCAGCAGAGATCCATTCAGATGAGGATTAGAGGCTTCCAGTTTGAGGAAACGAGATCAGCTGAGGAATTGGCGAGGTGAGATTAGCTGTGGCTGGTTCTGTTTCTCTGATCTTTTCAGCATTCACCCCAATACCCAGCTCTGGATTTTTTTTTTTTAATTAATAAGACCTTTTAAGATTCATATTACACTGCTTTATTTATTTAAAATACATTATGAGCATAATTCTGTTTCCTTAAATATTTTCTTATAGTATATTTCTGGTATAACCTTAGAATCCTATTTGTGTAGATAAACAATATATTTAAGCAATTTTGTATGTATTGATTTTTTAATGTCACTATTCTTTAAAAATTAGCACTCCAAATGAATATCTTTGTAGCCACAAAAACTTGACGTATAAAAAGTTTTATTTGAAATTTTTTTTAGTGTAGTGTCTGACTGTATGGATGTGCATACATGTGAAGACTTCAGATACCATGTTCACTGGCAGAGATTTAGCCCTTAGTTCTCACCTACGAGACCATGAACCAGACCATAAATTTTTATCTAAATGCTGAAGCCACTTAGAAAGTGTTTCAGATCATACTATTAAACAGAAAAACATTACTGGGTTTTGTTTGCTTGTTTCAAAAGACAGGATAGCAGCAAACCCTGAGTGGTGTGGTCCTCTGAGTTGTCATTTCCTGCAGCCTGGTGAGAACACAAACAGACGCATGGAGCATTCCACTGGCAGCATGGTGTCCCAGTCACAGGTGTTGACCATACAGCTAGAGATCGTGGAGCTGGCCAGACTGAAGAGACATGAGGCATGGAAGACTGCTAGATGCTGTGGCCATGCCCTTAAAACTGGCTGTTGGTGAGGAAAATGTTTTGTTATGTGTCTATTTGCTAGTGACAGTTTTCTTTGGTAATACTGAAGAAAAGTAACTGATGGGCAGGTCCCATCCCCATCAGTAACGTTACATGCCCCAGACCTTAGCATAACTGATGCCATGTTGGAAATACCATTCAGACCTTGGCACCCAGCAGGTAGGCAGCAACACCTGCCAGAAGGAGAGCAAAGACTAGTCCCTCAAAGTCCATAGTGCTGGGAAAATTCCTAGATGTACTGTGCTTCTTGGCTTCTGCCTAATTGGGGTGTGCCAACTCAGGATGTGGTTTTGTGCTTAAAAGCTCACCCTTAGAAAGGCTCAGGACTGTAGCTGAGGTTTTCTGTGTCCACCCGGCTCCTGCAGCTGCTCAGACCCAAATAAACACACACAGGCTAATATTTTTTAAAACTGCTTGGCCATTAGCTCAGGCCTACCACTAACTAGCTCTTACACTTAAAAACTCAGCCCATTTTTGTTAATCTATATGTTGCCATGTGTTCCATGGTTTTACCTGTGTGCCTGTTACATGTTGCTCCCTGGACGGCAGGCCAGTGTTCCCTTCTCAGCCTTCCTGTTCCCACAATTCACTTCTTTGCTTGTCCAGCCTGTACTTCCTGCCTAGCTACTGGCCAATCAGCATTTTATTTATACAGAGCGAAGTGGAAGGCTGAGGGAGGAGACGCTGCCAGCTGACGCTGCCATGAAAAGCAAGATGTACCAGTAAGCTACAAGCCACGTGGCAACTTACAGATTAATAGAAATGGGATAATTTAAGATATAAGAACTAGATAACAAGAAGCCTGAGCTACTAGGCCAAACAGTTTAAATAATATAAGCGTCTATGTGTTTATTTGGGTCTGAGTGGCTGCAGGTCTGAGTGGCACTGGAGAAAACTCCAACTACACAGGACTGCACGCTGGTCCTGAACACCCAGTGCAGTCTCTAGCAGTCTATTTAATAAAGACCTATTGGCTTAAACTTGTGCCTGAGCAGTCTTCTCTGGTAGATACCTTACAACAATAGATGGCCATTTATTGTTTTCCTACAAGTTCTTTGCAAATATATTAGCCTTCCAGTTGTGTATTTTTATGAGAGTCCTGTGTGTACGAATGCATGTCGTTGTGTTTCTTGTGCTTTTTCTTTGGCTTTTTTTTTTTTCTGCTTATTTTGTCCTGTTCCTGTTTGCTTGTCTTTGTTTTTTTTTTTTTTATTACTATCCTTTAGACACTTCTTTTCTAAGGAGAGACAGAAAGGGTGTGGATTCAGATGGGAGTGGGGGGATAGTAATCAGAATATATTGTATGAAAAAATCTATTTTCGATAAAAGAAAAATAGCTTTAAAATGCTTTTACAGACAGTTGCGTTGTCACAATTTTTTTTATCTCTGAAACAGAAACCCTTAATTCTATGAAACATCCCAGTAATTACATTCTGTAACCTTTACTGACTACAGACCACATGTTAATGTGAGAGCATGGCTCTTCATACCCTCACACTTTGTCACCCTGTGACTCCAAGGACTGCTATGAGTTGCTGTTCCTCTCCAGTCTTTTCTAACCATAAACATTATTTGTCCCAAATTTCCTAAGGCAACTTCTATATAGGAGAGTATGCATCACTGGCTGGTAACATGTTCTTGTTTTTCTTCTTTTTTTAATAATGGCAGACTGGTGGTGACAGTGAGGTCACAGGGAACAGATGAACTGCTGGTGCAGTGCACAACGGTTGGAGTGTTGGAACTGATGATACAGTGTCCCAGTCAGGCCAGCATCTTCAGATGACAGTGAGACTCAGCCTTGCCCCAGAAGTCCTTCACCTCCTTCCAATCTACAGTGGATCTAGAAGTTGGAGGCGGAAATGGAGATGCCAGGATCCACATTTGGTAATCCACTGTGTGGTCCTGAGTGGATTTGCCATAACAAGTACAAGTACATTATTTATGCCTGATAATCATATGATGCTGGTCTTTATAACTAATTATTAATCTTCTGCACTTGATTTTATTTTCCATAAACTTTACCCATGGATGAAAGAAGATTTAAAAAAACAAAACAAAACTACTTTTCCTCATGTGACAGATCTAGACTTTGAAATATTGAACCAAGAAAAAAAACAAAACCCAAAACTGGAAAGTATGTTGAGAAGTACGTACGCCCAATTGCTGCCCTGCCTAATTCTTTTCAGGTGACAATGAAGTAGCTTTTTAAAGCTTGAACTATAAAGGACTCCTGAGTACACTTCCAGCCACAAGTCAGCACTGCCATTTTTAGCCAGCATGTAGAAGAAAAGGAGGGCATTTCTTCCCATGCTGGTGGAACTATGTGGTTGTTCATTTCAGGTGTCCTCTACTGGTAAACTTTATACTGATAAACCATAGTGTGGCCATGTCCCCATTGTGCTGGAGTTTGTATGAATAGTTAAGATGTTTACTGCACTGTTTTTTTTTTTTTTGTTTGTTTGTTTATTTCTTTGTTTTTTGTTTTGTCTACTTTCTCATAGTTAATGTTTGTGGGACTAACTGTATTACTTGGATTTCATATTGTTTTAGCTCTATAAAATGGCCCCAGAAAATCTCCAAATATTGTCTCTAACTACAACAAAGGAGAATTGTATGGTTCCTTAAATTCACACTAATTCAACAGTTTGTTTTTTAGTGTGAATATTTTCATCTCTTTTTCATGTCTCAATTTATTTGAAACTCAATATTAAAAGCTATCTAGTAGAACCAACTTATTAAATGTTACTTTAGTGTGCAGTGAAATATTCAGTTAAGCAAATGTTTAAGAAAGATACTTTGACTGTTTAGAAATTCATTATGAATCATAAACCAAAACTCATTTCATAGTATTTCAGAGACATGGTCTCAAATATTCTTGGTCCAGTATGTCAGAATAGAATTTGTAATACAAATAAAGTTTGCTTTAATTAAAAGGGTTTTTTTTTTGCTGCAAGTCCCATCTATTGTCAGAAAGCATCAGGTAGAGTTAGCATTAGTAGTAGTTGTTTTCATTAGAAGAAGGAGGCTTTGACTAACTTTGTTTGTAACAAGTCTATTCTCAGTAAGAGGGTTTTGTTTTTCAAACACACAACACAGTATGATTCTCTGAGATCTGAAGGGATCGAAAGATACAGTTCAGGGCTGGTGGTTTACCCTCAGCTGTAGAACCAGTACAGAAACCCTGTTTTTAGTGCTGTGTCTTACATTCTTGTGTTCACTTGATTACTAAACTATGTCAGTCCTTTCTCCAATGAAAACAGGGGCCAACAAGTCTTTCAGAGTCAATGAACAAAATATACTGATTTTTAAACAGGTTTTTCGTATGATTTCGTCTCTCTTTTTTGAGTATGCTGAACAAATTCTTTCTTCCTAGGTGGTAAAGTTTGTGTTCCAGGCATATTGAGTTTATATATTTATTATGTGTACCCTGTTGTTAAATGAAAATAAGTGTGGTATCCATATACTGACCATGTACCACATATCCATTGCAGTCCCTAGAGAGTATTTATGATACATATTATATACTGTGTTTTATTATACTTATAAGATTGTACAACATCTTTCATTTTACCCATGAGCCCCATCTGTTTGTTTTTTGGTTTGTTTGGGTTTTTTTCTTCTTGAGTCAAGAATAAAGTTTAATACCTTTACTGTACCTTGCCCTCGGTTGGTATAATTAGGAAGTAAATTGTTCAAATCTCCACAATTAAGAGTTTCAGAGTTTGTGATACTGGTCACTTGACTTAATAAAGACTAGATTATATGAACAGAAAAATTGTCTATTTCCTAACTAAAAGTAATTGAGCAAGTTTTCCTTTTATTAGCAAATGTTAGTAATAGCCTAGACTGAAAATGTCTGTATGTGGGGGTGACACACAATGAAACAAGCCTGCTTATAACCAGTTAGCACTGCATGTGACTGTCATATGGGTATTTTACTCTTCTGAGACAGTTGAAGCATAGGTAGTTCTTTTGGGAGAGTAGATAATAGTGAGGCTTGAGGAAGGCCAGCACCCACCTTTTAAAGATTTTTTTAGGAGGAGAGGATAAGAAACTTTTAGATAAGAAGATAGCAAAGAGGAGAAAAAAACAGGATAGCTCCAGGAGTACCTAAATCAAAACCCAACAGTCCTTTCTTCCTCTTCAAAAGTGTTTTTTTATAACAATGCCAAGGGGTGGAGCAAAAGACCTCCCCCTTGCTAGATCAAAGCACACTGAACAGCCAATTGTAGACCCTTCCAAACATGTGATAGCCATGCCCGTGATCTAATCATTTCCCTATGTAGTCCTGCTGGGTAAAGCAAGCTCAGATTCTTGGACCCTGAGTAAGTTCTCACTAGGAAACCTCTGTGGGTCTCTACAGCTCCCCCTTCTTAATAAATTAAAGGGCTCCTCAGATCCTTCAGATAGACTGTGCCTGCCTTGGGTCATCTTCACTAATCAGCCTTACCCGTCATAGAGATACACTTTCCATCAAGCATACTCTGCCTTAGGTTGGCAGCTAGCAAGAAGAACTTAACTGGTCTCTGACTACCAACCTGTGGCAGGGGAAAGTATAGAGTTTAACTCAGCTTAGACTCGGGCCCCTACTAAGAGCTTACAAGTAGCTGGAACAACCACAGCAATCCCTATAGCTACCACACCCCCTAGTAGAGGAGAAGAGGATGACCAAGATGGAATGTCCTTTTTGAATGGGTCTAAGATGTCTATTACAGCCTTAGCTGCACCAAGCCCTTTTTTAAATCAAAAAACTCTTGATGCAAATGCATCAAATCAATAAACTGCTGATGCAGCTACATCAAACTTAAAAGACTCCCTTAGCTTCAACAAACTATGGTTCATTAATATCAACATATTAACAATTCTAGCATGAATATTGCTATACATATTTAAAATTCTTACAAACTTACATTCAGAAACAAACTATAGGACTATTTACACTTAGCAAACTTTAGCAAACATTCAAAAGTGATCTCTTAACAGAACTATTTACATTTTCTTCCAACAAGACAGACAGTACATGGATTAAGAGTCACCACAGTTAAAATTGTAGGTGAACTCAAAACTGTTTGATTTATGAGGTTTGCAAAAGCTCAAAAAAGTCAATTCTAGTAACCATTTCACTGACAGCCCAAGATCAGGGCCTGGCTCATCAGCCATCCTGAAGTCCGTTTGAGCAGTCCAAGTTGTAATGACTTTTAGACAAACAGTTCCAAATATGAGCAGTCCAAAATTTGTTACAGCTCCCCTTGATGCAGCTTAGTTCAAGCAAGCATCTCTGAAGCTTCACTCTCAGCCACAGAGGCACTTTCAGTTAGCTTTCCCTAGGAGAGGTGCCCTAGGGTGAAGACAGAATTACTGTACTGAGCTGCTGTAACTCTTAGAAAAGCTTGCTGCTGCTCAGCTAGTAGGAACCAGGAACCCATCTCTTAAAGGAGCCATGCATTGGTTTGCCCCTAGTAACCAGAATCAGTGTGGCTCCAGAATCTGTTTGATTCCAGCTTTTACAGTTCCAGTCCTTGAGTACCAAATAGAGACAAAACCTTTGTCCCAAACTACTCAGCAGTCTGGAGGACCCCTTTAGTCTCCTCCTTTCCCCACACTGCAGTATGGATTATGAGTGCATCAAGAACACTGGCTCAGCCGTTCTCACTCCAGCTCCTCTGGGGAGCCGACATTCCTCTGTTCCACGCAGTGCATCAAGCACTCAGGCAGCCAACAAGCTTTGGAGGTGGAGTGTGGCTCTCTCCTCTAAACTGTACTCCAGGAAAACAAAGATGCTGAGAACATAGAGTGTTTGCCAGTGAAAGCTTGCATGAGCAGAGCCAGTTCATGACAGCTCACTGTAAATGGTGGCAGGGCAGGTCTGCACAAGCCTCTCGGAGCTTTCAATATGTTACCCTGATGCTACACAAAGTTAGAGATTTTTAGCATTTTTCCTGCTATATTTCACTGTTGCTTTAGTCCTTCCTTTCTGTCCCGCCACCCTTCTCTTGTAGCATTGGGATGTTTATGTGCTGTCTTGCCACTCTATATTAGAAACATGTACTTCAAACAGCATAGTAGTCTTCTTCAGGTTTGTGTGTTCCTACTACTATCATGACTATCATCCTCGAGTAAAGATCACAGGATATCTTAAGTACCTTTGCATTCCAACAGAAGCATTCTGGTGATTTAGACACCACAGAAGACACCAGTAGACAAGTATATTCTTTTAAAACAGGTAATTTAAACATTAATGCTACATAGGGATTTTTGTCATTTAATATTTTATAATTAATTTGATAAAAGTAGCCTATTATTGATGAGGCATAGATTAAAACTGTTATTCTTTACATTAGAATGGAAACTTAAATGAATTATTGAGAGGTACAAAGAGCCAGATGCTCTTTATATAATTTTATTAGTCAAAATCATTATCCTAAAATGTAGATGAACGTGGCTCCACCTCTTCCAGATCTTTATCAGCCATAGTTTTGGTTCTTGTCCAAAGCATTGGCTCAGATCTGTGAGAAGGGCTCGAGCAGGAGGCCTGGCTCTGCGGTCAAGAGCCTGTGCTGCTCCAGCAGAGGGCAGCTCACAACTGCCTGAAACTGCAGCTCTGGTCTCTGTGGGTAACTATATGTTGTATAGGCGCCCCCTATAACCAGAATAATACAATAAACCTTTTTTAAAAGTTTAAAAAACAGAATCTAAGAAGTACTCAGGATCCTCTTTCTGACAAAACTAGAGTTTTCAAACAAATTGTTTCTTTAACTATCTTTGATCAAAACAGGAAATACCAACACAATGACAACATAACACTGCTTCTAGGTGAAGAACCATCACATGGACTAGTTATATAATTTTTCTCTTGCTAGTTTGGTTTCACAGTTTTCTTTCATGTAAAATCTTGGCAACTGTTGTCTGGTAATATAATGCATAAGTATAACTACAAAAAAAAAAAATCTGGTCCAGTGTTTTGAAATGCTAGGATATCACCTACTGGATGGATAGATTTGATTTAAAAGTAGAGTCCAGGTAAGCAATGCCTCAGACCCCATCTTCCTAAACCTCTTAGTGGCCCTACTGTGAGATAGGGAGTGGAGACAAGAGGATTAGCCAGAACATGCACACTAGCTTGTCTGTAGTATGTTGCTGTGCAGCAATAGAAATGAGAAACTGTCTCAACAAAGTTGAAGGAGAGAACCAACCTCTGCAAGGTGTTCACTGAGCTCCACACACAGGCTATGTCGCATGCACACCTGTATGCCTACATACATACACAAATAAAAACTTAAACCTCTTAGTTACTTGAGTTTGATCAAAAGGGTTTGCTGACATTAACTTCTAGGTATCCACCACTTGTGGGACCAGATGACACCAAACAACTTTAAGCTAGCAACAAGAGACTATCAAAACCAACCAACAGGATAATTAGTGGTATATGGTGATATTTTGTTTGTGGTCTAACAAATAAAGCTTGCCTGACTATCCACTAGTTAACCATAGAGGTCAGACAGTGGTGGCACACATCTATAATCCCAGCACTTGGGAGGAGGAAGCAGAAAGATCAGGAGTTCAAGTCCACCCTGGGCTACACAAGATTGATCCACTCTAAAAGAGAAACAGCCAGGTAGTGGATACTCAGGCTTTTGATCTCAGCACTTGGGATCTCATGCCTTTGAAACCAGTACTTGGCAGGCACAAGCCTTTAATCCCAGCACTAGGGAGGTGGAGACATGAAGTGATATGTCTGGGTGGAAAGAGGAATATAAGGCAGGAGGAGACAGCAGCTCAGCTCCCTTTCAGGCTGAGGAGTTGACAAGGTAAGTTGTGGCTGTGGCTTGTTCCTTTTTCTCTCTGATCTTTCAGCATTTACCTCAATATCTGACTCTGAGTTTTTATTGTTAAGACCAATTAGAATTTGAGCTACAATGGTACCTTTAGAAGAAATCATTTAATGGGAGAAGATTTTCTGAGTCAAAATGGAATCATTTGTATCCACACTAGAAAAAGAAAGTAAACCAAAAAATACAGGGAAAGGGTTTTACCCAGTACTGACAGGGACTAAGAGTTTTACCCTAGCGTAGAAAAACAAAGACATAGAGAACACTTATCCAGACAGTTGAGGAGATAGCTCAGTCCAAAAAGTGTGTACTCATCTAGAACAAGGACCTGAATTGGATCCAGGACCCATATAAAATCCAGAGAGTGGATTGCCTTTGTGATCCCAGATTTGGATAAAATGAGCACACTGGCCAGTTAGCCAGCCTAACCAATGAGATCAAGTCCCAATAAGAGTCAATCTCTCTCACGCACACACACACACACACACACACACACACACACACACACACACACACACACACACACACACACACACACACACACTATAGAGATGGCTCAGGGTATAAGAGTGCTTGATATCTATGGTAGTTTGAATACAATTGGCACCATAATCTCATAGGGTGTGGCACTATTAGGTGTGGCTTTATTGGGGTGGTGTGTTTGGTCTTGTAGGAAATGTGTAGCTGTAGGAGTAGGATTTAAGTTCTATGCTCAAACTACTCCCACTGTCACCGATCATTTCCTGTTGCCTGTAATACGTAGGATTCTCTAGCACCATGTTTGCCTGCACGACACCATGACGATAATGGGCTGAACCTCCGAGACTAAGCCACCCCAACTAAATATTTTCCTTTGTAAGAGTTGCCATGCTCATGGTGCCCTTCACAGCAAGAAAAGCCCTAAGACATTACCTTTGCAGAGGTCATAGTTTGGATCCTGGCACCC